TACACTTACAAAACACTCACACTTAACAACCACACACTTGTGTACACTGACAAAACACTCACACTTAACAACCACACACTTGTGTACACTGACAAAACACTCACACTTAACAACCACACACTTGTGTACACTGACAAAACACTCACACATTTAACAACCACACACTTGTGTACACTGACAAAACCCCAACCCCACCACAGCTTAATCAACACACACACTTGTGTACACTGACAAAACACTCACACTAACAACCACACACTTGTGTACACTGACAAAACACTCACACTAACAACCACACACTTGTGTACACTGACACACCCACCAACCCACTCACTACCCACCTAACAACCACACACTTGTGTACACTGACAAAACACTCACACTTAACAACCACACACTTGTGTACACTGACAAAACACTCACACCTAACAACCACACACTTGTGTACACTGACAAAACACTCACACTTAACAACCACACACTTGTGTACACTGACAAAACACTCACACTTAACAACCACACACTTGTGTACACTGACAAAACACTCACACCTAACAACCACACACTTGTGTACACTGACAAAACACTCACACTTAACAACCACACACTTGTGTACACTGACAAAACACTCACACCTAACAACCACACACTTGTGTACACTGACAAAACACTCACACTTAACAACCACACACTTGTGTACACTGACAAAACACTCACACCTAACAACCACACACTTGTGTACACTGACAAAACACTCACACTTAACAACCACACACTTGTGTACACTGACAAAACACTCACACCTAACAACCACACACTTGTGTACACTGACAAAACACTCACACTTAACAACCAACACATTGTGTACACTGACAAAACACTCACACCTAACAACCACACACTTGTGTACACTGACAAAACACTCACACTTAACAACCACACACTTGTGTACACTGACAAAACACTCACACCTAACAACCACACACTTGTGTACACTGACAAAACACTCACACTTAACAACCACACACTTGTGTACACTGACAAAACACTCACACTTAACAACCACACACTTGTGTACACTGACAAAACACTCACACTTAACAACCACACACTTGTGTACACTGACAAAACACTCACACTTAACAACCACACACTTGTGTACACTGACAAAACACTCACACTTAACAACCACACACTTGTGTACACTGACAAAACACTCACACTTAACAACCACACACTTGTGTACACTGACAAAACACTCACACTTAACAACCACACACTTGTGTACACTGACAAAACACTCACACTTAACAACCACACACTTGTGTACACTGACAAAACACTCACACTTAACAACCACACACTTGTGTACACTGACAAAACACTCACACTTAACAACCACACACTTGTGTACACTGACAAAACACTCACACTTAACAACCACACACTTGTGTACACTGACAAAACACTCCACTTAATAACCACACACTTGTGTACACTGACAAAACACTCACACTTAACAACCACACACTTGTGTACACTGACAAAACACTCACACTTAACAACCACACACTTGTGTACACTGACAAAACACTCACACTTAACAACCACACACTTGTGTACACTGACAAAACACTCACACTTAACAACCACACACTTGTGTACACTGACAAAACACTCACACTTAACAACCACACACTTGTGTACACTGACAAAACACTCACACTTAACAACCACACACTTGTGTACACTGACAAAACACTCACACTTAACAACCACACACTTGTGTACACTGACAAAACACTCACACTTAACAACCACACACTTGTGTACACTGACAAAACACTCACACTTAACAACCACACATCGAACATACATCTAAATTGGAAGATTTTCGACTATTTCTTGTATTATTTCTTCAAATAAACTGCAACTTCGGATATCGAACAGAAACATATTTTATCATAATATAGAAAGGAAGGGTATATAAAAAAAACAGTAAGTATATAATAATATAAAATTTTTGGCTATTTTTTTCAACATTGCAACTGAAAAAATGAAATCTGTTCTCGTACATTATGCAATACTGTATAAAAAATATATATCCTCGCACTGCCAGTGATGTGTTGAACAATGTATCATTCACTGATGTGTTGAACAATGTATCATTCACTGATGTGTTGAACACTGTATCATTCACTGATGTGTTGAACAATGTATCATTCACTGAGGTGTTGAACAATGTATCATTCACTGATGTGTTGAACACTGTATCATTCACTGACGTGTTGAACAATGTATCATTCACTGATGTGTTGAACACCTCAGTGAACAATGTTGAACATTCACTGAGGTGTTGAACAGTGAACATTCACTGAGGTGTTGAACAGTGAACATTCACTGAGGTGTTGAATAGTGAACATTCACTGAGGTGTTGAATAGTGAACATTCACTGAGGTGTTCAACACTGTTGAACATTCACTGAGGTGTTCAACACTGTTGAACATTCACTGAGATGATAAACACACACACAGTTAAGTCAGATTAGTTAAATCTGAGAAAACAGATCCTTGAGAATATAACAACTATGTGAAGGTGAGGGAGTGATAGTGAAGGTGAGGGAGTGATAGTGAAGGTGAGAGAGTGATAGTGAAGGTGAGGGAGTGATAGTGAAGGTGAGGGAGTGATAGTGAAGGTGAGGGAGTGACAGTGAAGGTGAGGGAGTGATAGTGAAGGTGAGGGAGTGATAGTGAAGGTGAGAGAGTGATAGTGAAGGTGAGGGAGTGATAGTGAAGGTGAGGGAGTGATAGTGAAGGTGAGAGAGTGATAGTGAAGGTGAGGGAGTGATAGTGAAGGTGAGGGAAGTGATAGTGAAGGTGAGGGAGTGATAGTGAAGGTGAGGGAGTGATAGTGAAGGTGAGGGAGTGATAGTGAAGGTGAGGGAGTGACAGTGAAGGTGAGGGAGTGATAGTGAAGGTGAGGGAGTGATAGTGAAGGTGAGGGAGTGATAGTGAAGGTGAGGGAGTGATAGTGAAGGTGAGGGAGTGATAGTGAAGGTGAGGGAGTGACAGTGAAGGTGAGGGAGTGATAGTGAAGGTGAGGGAGTGATAGTGAAGGTGAGGGAGTGATAGTGAAGGTGAGGGAGTGATAGTGAAGGTGAGAGAGTGATAGTGAAGGTGAGGGAGTGATAGTGAAGGTGAGGGAGTGACAGTGAAGGTGAGAGAGTGATAGTGAAGGTGAGGGAGTGATAGTGAAGGTGAGGGAGTGATAGTGAAGGTGAGAGAGTGATAGTGAAGGTGAGGGAGTGACAGTGAAGGTGAGAGAGTGATAGTGAAGGTGAGGGAGTGATAGTGAAGGTGAGGGAGTGATAGTGAGGGTGAGGGAGTGATAGTGAAGGTGAGGAGTGATAGTGAAGGTGAGGGAGTGATAGTGAAGGTGAGGGAGTGATAGTGAGGGTGAGGGAGTGATAGTGAAGGTGAGAGAGTGATAGTGAAGGTGAGGGAGTGATAGTGAAGGTGAGGGAGTGATAGTGAAGGTGAGGGAGTGATAGTGAAGGTGAGAAAGTGATAGTGAAGGTGAGAGAGTGATAGTGAAGGTGAGGGAGGAGTGATAGTGAAGGTGAGGGAGTGATAGTGAAGGTGAGAGAGTGATAGTGAAGGTGAGGGAGTGATAGTGAAGGTGAGGGAGTGGATAGTGAAGGTGAGGGAGTGATAGTGAAGGTGAGAGAGTGATAGTGAAGGTGAGAGAGTGATAGTGAAGGTGAGGGAGTGATAGTGAAGGTGAGGGAGTGATAGTGAAGGTGAGGAGAGTGATAGTGAAGGTGAGGGAGTGATAGTGAAGGTGAGAGAGTGATAGTGAAGGTGAGGGAGTGATAGTGAAGGTGAGAGAGTGATAGTGAAGGTGAGGGAGTGATAGTGAAGGTGAGAGAGTGATAGTGAAGGTGAGGGAGTGACAGTGGAGGTGAGAGAGTGAAAGTGAAGGTGAGAGAGTGAAGGTGAGGGAGTGATAGTGAAGGCTAGGGAGTGATAGTGAAGGTGAAGGAGTGATAGTGAGGTGAGGGAGTGATAGTGAAGGTGAGTGAGTGATAGTGAAGGTGAGGGAGTGATAGTGAAGGTGAGGGAGTGATAGTGAAGGTGAGGGAGTGACAGTGGAGGTGAGAGAGTGATAGTGAAGGTGAAGGAGTGATAGTGAAGGTGAGGGAGTGATAGTGAAGGTGAGAGTGATGGAGTGATAGTGAAGGTGAGGGAGTGATAGTGAATGTGAGGGAGTGACAATGGAGGTGAGTGATAGTGAAGGTGAGGGAGTGATAGTGAAGGCTAGGGAGTGATAGTGAAGGTGAAGGAGTGATAGTGAGGTGAGGGAATGATAGTGAAGGTGAGGGAGTGATAGTGAAGGTGAGGAGTGATAGGAAGGTGAGGGAATGATAGTGAAGGATGTGAGGGAGTGAGTGAAAAAATGTGAGGGAGTGATAGTGAGGAATGTGAGGGAATAGTAGTGAGGAAGGTGAGGGAGTGATAGTGAAGGTGAAGGATAGTGAGGAATGTGAGGGAGTGATAGTGAAGGTGTAGATTAACAGAGAGAGAGAGAGAGAGAGAGAGAGAGAGAGAGAGAGAATGAATGATGTGTGTGTGTGTGTGTGTGTGTGTGTGTGTGTGTGGTGTGTGTGTGTGTGTGTGTGTGTGTGTGTGTGTGTGTGTGTGTGTGGTGTGTGTGTGGTGTGTGTGTGTGGTGTGTGTGTGTGTGTGTGTGTGTGTGTGTGTGTGTGTGTGTGTGTGTGTGTGTGTGTGTGTGTGTGTGTGTGTGTGTGTGTGGTGTGTGGTGTGTGGTGTGTGGTGTGTGTGTGGTGTGTGTGTGTGTGTGGTGTGTGTGTGTGTGGTGTGTGTGTGTGTGTGTGTGTGTGTGTGTGTGTGTGGTGTGTGTGTGTGGTGTGTGTGTGTGGTGTGGTGTGTGTGTGTGTGTGTGTGTGTGTGTGTGTGGTGTGTGTGTGTGTGTGTGTGTGTGTGTGTGTGTGTGTGTGTGTGTGTGTGTGTGTGTGTGTGTGTGTGTGTGTGTGTGTGTGTGTTTCTTCATGTTTTATAAAGTGAGAGTACAGTAGCCTTATGTTTTTCATCAGTTGATTCAGCTTTCTTGCAGCATTAATTTCTAGACAATGTTGACAAGGAACACAGACAAAAGTCACAACAGTGTGGCTGGAACACTGCCTAACTGGCCTCCAAACTGGCACTAGAAACTGGACAATGTTGGAGTGCATCGTGTAGCAAGCACGAGTAACTTGTCCTGACCTAGCATCTGGCTTTCTCTCTCTCTCTCTCTTTTCACTTGTAATCTGATAACAGTGCAAGACTGATTGCAACACTGTCTATTCTCTACTGCCAATTTGTGGGCTAGTTGTATAAGGGTTAATGACACCTGGAAAACCTTTCATACATCAGAAGGGAGCATATGATTGGACTTTCATTTAGGTATGTGAGCCTCAAGAGGCTCTTAATCTCCTTAACAATAGTAGTACCACATGTGACTACTTCTAGTCCCTCTATTCTATATACATATTTGTGAAGCTCATCATTACACTGTTTACTTGTGGTACATCACAGCTCCTGAAAATTCTGAATTAAAAAACAACAAAGAGATTCATTTTTTGTAAATAAAATAAAATTTAATATTCCATGAACTTACCTAAGTCATGAACTTTCATAATTTATTAAGAATATTTACAAGTCTCCTAAATGAAATTTAGTGTGCATTTTATTTAACGAAAAGAAAGCCTCTAACATTAGCAATGAATCTTTCAAAGTTATCCCTGAACTTGACACGGTTCATGCGGTCAGCAGTAAGCTCAACATTAGTAGTCAACTGAGTAAAAGATTCTGCCAAACGCTGCCCTGTTGTCTGGTCAGTCTGACTGTGAAGTAAAGATTGCACCAGCTCTTGATACTCAGCCTGTGGGTAAAAAGAAAAAGAAACACTGTGTATGCACTTATCAACTTACATGAACAAAATTTCAATTACCACGCATTAAATGAAGTATCTCTGTGCCCCGATATACCCTGCCCTCTATACCAGCATATCACAATGGTAGTCTTGTAATCAGTGAGGTTCACCAACACTGACTCAAAGCTCAACATAATTTGCAATTTTTTTTTTTTTTAAGACAACAGCCATCTCCCATCTAGGTAGGGAGACCAGAAGAGGAAACCCTTTCACCATCACTCATTCCATCAACGTCTTTTCCAAGGCATGCCAACATCACAGCTCTGTCCCTCCAAACTGCAAATATCCCCACCTCTCCTTCATACTCTGCATCATGTGTAATACCTGTTGGTTCATGAGCAGCTCTCTCTCTGAGACAGAGACAAGCAGACAGAAAGACAGGAACACACACACACAGGCAGACAGACAAGCAGAGACAGAGCTAGACAGATAGACAGACACATTTAACAGTGAAAACAAATAAAGCCAAGTAGTGCACAATCATCAAGTGTCACTCCAATGCTGCACTGTCAACAGTGTAGTGACACTAGTCTTACACTGTGCTTCAAGGAGTTTCATATATACTCCAGCATGTCTAAAACATTGCTGGGACCTATAAATACTTTGTACAGTAAGGCCCCACTTTACGGCGTTTCACCTTACAGCGTTCCGCTAATACAGCGATGTCAAATTATGACCAAAATTTGCTATACGGCAAGCGGTCTTTCAAATACGGCGCCCCCCCACCCGGTTTGTTTACATTTTCCGTGACCACATCTATTATGTCAGGAAACTTTCCAAAATTTCAAGTGTTTTAAAGTTACTGCATATTTTATATGTACTCTGATATTTATACTTATGTGTACCTGTACCTAAATATACTTACACACTGTGCTGGTGTGCAGGTACACATTAAAATCGCTAAGTCTCTCTCTACTCATGACGCCAATACTATGTAATAATAATCACTCTTGGGCACACTAAATGTCTTATTTTACATCAATATAGGCATTCTCATTAATCCATCTATGATATTTTCCTCAAAATTATATATGAAACCCATTACATAGCATATAAACATGATACAGACACTCACAGAATAAAAATTGATGCAAATATGAGATTTGTTTACAAAGCAGCTGTGTAGGTAGTGTCGGAAGAATTACATTTTCTCTAGTCAAACTGGGGATACCAGTAGAAAAATATTCTTTTCGTATGCCTTTACTCTATATATAACAATTCACGACCCTTGTGGGTTTAGTGCTTTTTATAATAAATAATAATAATAATATTAATAATAATAATAATAATAATAATAATAATAATAATATTATTATTATTATTAATATTATTATCTTCATTCACTCTAAAAATGGTGTGTTGCTGTTTGTTTATTCTGAACTAACTTGTACAACTTGTACACAATGTAAGAGTATTTGTATTGTGAGGTAATTATTATTATAATAAAAAAAATATTGAGGTAAATGTTTTACAAACTCTTACAAATGGACGTGAATGAACTAAAAGTAGACGCATATTAATACGCATTTATTTCGCCTGACCAAGTGATTGTCCACTACCTGTTCAGTTTGTGCTCTTACATTGTCTCAACTATGTATCTCGTTCTCTCTTTCGTTTACTCTTTTGTTAACTAGTTGGCTCTCATTGACGATGGCATCTAAGGTTAGCTGTGATAAAAAGAGAAGTCGTAAGCCTCTTGCTTTAAGTGCCAAGTTAGAGGATGATGGTGTGCCATTCTGATTTTATTCAATAAACTCCCTGCCACTCACCTCTCTCAAATTAATATTAATATTTTAAGGTAAGTAATAAGTGTACTCTGTGTGTATCTTACCTTTTATTGTATTTTTAATGCCTATTTCTATTGCTAACTTAATATAAGTTAGTGTAAACTTGTTGTCTGGCATTTATTGCATATTTTAGGTGTGCTCTGATAATAATACTTGTGGAGCTGTGTGGTAGCTGGGTGGAGGGACAACATTACGTTTTCTCTGTTCAGCCATCAGAGAAAACATGTATGAATCTGCGTTTGGCCCAGCCACTCCCTCACTCCACTTTTGTTTACAATTTTCGGCATGAATTATTCATTACTTCTACCTTCGTTTATGATGGCATCTAAAGGTAGTTGCTAGAAATGATTAAATTCAGTGAACAAGGCATGTCGATGTTAATAATATGGCTCTGGGCCACAGTGTAGGTAGCCGGTAGGTGTAGCCCAGGCGGGCTACACCTACCGGTTACACCTACCGGCTACCTACACTGACTTTCTACAAATAAATACTACTCACCTCTCTTCCTATATTAAGACTACACATATTTTAAGGTAAATAATGAGTGTACTGTATGTGTATTTTACCTCTGGGATGTTTTAAATTATTTTTATTATTATCACACTGGCCGATTCCCACCAAGGAAGGGTGGCCCGAAAAAGAAAAACTTTCACCATCATTCACTCCATCACTGTCTTGCCAGAAGGGTGCTTTACACGACAGTTTTTAAACTGCAACATTAACACCCCTCCTTCAGAGTGCAGGCACTGTACTTCCCATCTCCAGGACTCAAGTCCGGCCTGCCGGTTTCCCTGAACCCCTTCATAAATGTTACTTTGCTCACACTCCAACAGCACGTCAAGTATTAAAAACCATTTGTCTCCATTCACTCTTAACAAACATGCTCACGCATGCCTGCTGGAAATCCAAGCCCGTCGCACACAAAACCTCCTTTACCCCCTCCCTCCAACCTTTCCTAGGCCGACCCCTACCCCGCCTTCCTTCCACTACAGACTGATACACTCTTGAAATCATTCTGTTTCGCTCCATTCTCTCTACATGTCCGAACCACCTCAACAACCCTTCCTCAGCCCTCTGGGCAACAGTTTTGGTAATCCCGCACCTCCTCCTAACTTCCAAACTATGAATTCTCTGCATTATATTCACACCACACATTGCCCTCAGACATGACATCTCCACTGCCTCCAGCCTTCTCCTCGCTGCAACATTCATCACCCATGCTTCACACCCATATAAGAGCGTTGGTAAAACTATACTCTCATACATTCCCCTCTTTGCCTCCAAGGACAAAGTTCTTTGTCTCCACAGACTCCAAAGTGCACCACTCACCCTTTTCCCCTCATCAATTCTATAATTCACCTCATCTTTCATAGACCCATCCACTGACATGTCCACTCCCAAATATCTGAATACATTCACCTCCTCCATACTCTCTCCCTCCAATCTGATATCCAATCTTTCATCACCTAATCTTTTTGTTATCCTCATAACTTTACTCTTTCCTGTATTCACTTTTAATTTTCTTCTTTTGCACACCCTACCAAATTCATCCACCAATCTCTGCAACTTCTCTTCAGAATCTCCCAAGAGCACAGAGTCATCAGCAAAGAGCAACTGTGGCAACTCCCACTTTGTGTGTGATTCTTTATCTTTTAACTCCACGCCTCTTGCCAAGACCCTCGCATTTACTTCTCTTACAACCCCATCTATAAATGTATTAAACAACCACGGTGACATCACACATCCTTGTCTATGGCCTACTTTTACTGGGAAATAATTTCCCTCTTTCTTACATACTCTAACTTGAGCCTCACTATCCTCATAAAAACTCTTCACTGCTTTCAGTAACCTACCTCCTACACCATACACCTGCAACATCTGCCACATTGCCCCCCTATCCACCCTGTCATATGCCTTTTCCAAATCCATAAATGCCACAAAGACCTTTTTAGCCTTATCTAAATACTGTTCACTTATATGTTTCACTGTAAACACCTGGTCCACACACCCCCTACCTTTCCTAAAGCCTCCTTGTTCATCTGCTATCCTATTCTCCGTCTTACTCTTAATTCTTTCAATAATAACTCTACCATACACTTTACCAGGTATACTCAACAGACTTCTCCCCCTATAATTTTTGCACTCTCTTTTGTCCCCTTTGCCTTTATACAAAGGAACTATGCATGCTCTCTGCCAATCCCTAGGTACCTTACCCTCTTCCATACATTTATTAAATAATTGCACCAACCACTCCAAAACTATATCCCCACCTGCTTTTAACATTTCTATCTTTATCCCATCAATCCCAGCTGCCTTACCCCCTTTCATTTTACCTACTGCCTCACGAACTTCCCCCACACTCACAACTGGCTCTTCCTCACTCCTACAAGATGTTATTCCTCCTTGCCCTATACACGAAATCACAGCTTCCCTATCTTCATCAACATTTAACAATTCCTCATATATTATATTAAGTATGAGACGGGGAGCCAGTGCTACCTACACCTGGGCTACCTACACCTGACTTCCTACAAATAAGTACTACTCGCCTCTCTCCCTACATTAAAATTACAAATACTTTAAGTAATGAATTTACTGTGAATGTATTTTACTTTGTGTGTTTTTAATGCCTAGTTCTATTACTAACTTAATATAATTTAGTGTAAACTTGTTGTCTGGCATTTATATGCATTTATAAATGGAAAAAATGGCGTTCTGCCTTCCGGCGATGTCTGCTTTCTGGCAACAGCCTGGAACCTAACCCGCCGTATAAGTGAGGCCCTACTGTATATATTTCTAGACAATAGTATGTGACCAGGGCAGGTGAAAATGTTCACCTGTCAGTGTGTTTCCAACTATCTGAGTACTATTTCAGTACCTAATATTAGTGTCAGAACAAAGACTGGCTATGAAATCACAAGAACTACTACAGATTGTAATTATCAGAACACAAAAATTATATAAATAAAAAAAAAAAAAAAAAAAAAAAAAAAAAAAAAAAAAAAAAAATTCATCTGCAAAATTTAAGTGGCCGGACTCCATGTTGCCATCAGGTGAGCATCTGGTGCCAAATTTATGGTCTTCTATCTTGGTAAGTACTGACCCTAAATTTTTTTTTTTTTGGTCTTATTACACAGAAAATTGCCCTATTTAAAAAAAACAAAAATAATCAAAATATTCGGAGCACTAACAGTGACAATGTTGCTATACGTTTGGACAGTTAACGGGTTAATATTCAAAACTCACAAACTTATTACAACTTTCTTTCTACTCCAAGTAATTATTACATCAAAAACTGTCACACCAATTCTACAATACAAGTACTATATAGAGGCATATCTCATTAATACAGTGCTTGCTTAAGAGCACTTCGCTCTATTATATTCACATTTATTATTTTTGGTGCCTGCCGTGCACCATTTTTCATATTTTTTATTTATTTTTACTTGTGCATCTTTTTTTTTAGGCCTAGTGCTATTATGCACTTAATAAATGATAGTGCAAACATGTTTTAGGCTTTTATATGCACTGGCAAATGAAAAAAAAGGCTGTGATTCACTTTAAGGTGATATTTGTTTTATGATGGCAGTCTGGAACCTAATCTGCCGTATTACTGAAGAATGCCTGTACTTATATTAATATACAAACCCCTCTGGGTTTTCTTCTATTTTCTTTCTAGTTCTTGTTCTTGTTTATTTCCTCTTATCTCCATGGGGAAGTGGAACAGAATTCTTCCTCCGTAAGCCATGCGTGTTGTAAGAGGTGACTAGAATGCCGGGAGCAAGGGGCTCGTAACCCCTTCTCCTGCATAAACTACTAAATTTAAAGAGAGAAACTTTTGTTTTTCTTTTTGGGCCACCCTGCCTTGGTGGGATACGGCCGGTTTGTTGAAAGAAAGATATACATAAACAAAGTATTCAAATAATCTAAAATTCAACTCTACACTGTTATGTAGTATTAAATACTCAGGGATGCCTAAAATGCTCTGCAAAACAAAGGGTTTTCTACATATTTTAATACATGTTGCCTAATTTTTGTACAATTATATTCTAATGAAAATAAAAATTTCTATTTCAGTGAGCTACTAGTAAGATCTTCAGTTGAGAATATTGTATAATATTTTTATGACATAACATTTTAAGGGGGAAGAACCTGATATAAACAACAGTTAAAGAATTACCTACATACCTGGAAACAACATATGAGTGTATAAAGCGCTGCAGACGCTGACTGTAGTAAGTCGGAGTTTATTTGTTGTGACAATATCAGGTCAAGTACGAGCTGTGAAAAGTCTGATATTAATAAAGATTAAAACTAATAATGAATATTAAAATAAATACAATAAAGTCAAACACATAAATAGTAATTATTTATGCTAAAAACAACATTAGGGTCATTTTTCACCATAAATGTCTCATGATTCTCAACCACTTTGCAGCCTATACATGATCTTGTTTCATGCTTTTTAATCTGCTATCCAGCAAGTCCCTCTTCCTGCATTCTAAAATGCTTTTGATTCCTCAGTACATTAAGTGTAGCTAAGGGACATATTCTGTCTCTTTTTGCAATACATTATCAATACAGTGGAACATCGGTATATGACCAGCTCCCTACTCAAACAAAGCTCAGCACTCATCCAAACAAATACGACCTGCCAGAATTCACTGTAAATTATTTCGTTTTTCTTTGCATTTGTTGGCATTTTTTGTATTATTTGTATAAATAAGTCACCATGGGGTCTACAACGATTAGTGATAACATCCAACCAAACAGAAAATTGGTTGGGAAGAACTTGTTCGATACTCAAACGGAGCGGCACTCAAACAACCTTCTGGAATGAATTAAGGTCGCGTACCGAGGTTCCACTGTATTTTATAAAAAATCTTAAAATTTAACCCTTTCAGGGTCCGTCCCGTAGATCTACGGCTTTACGGTGAGTGTCCAAACCGTAGATCTACGCCATGAGCTCAGCTCACTCTGATAAACTGTGAGTGGTACATTTGGGCCTAGATATGAGAGAATACATCTATGTGGTATGTGTGCACCACATAAAACAGATCCTGCAGCACACTGTGTATAATGAGAGAAAAAAACTGAAATCATGATTTTTCGATTAAAACAGCAACTTTGCAGTGTTTTTTCGTATGTTTTTTAAAGTTGTATTTGCGATTTCTTGGTCTCATTTGATAGAATGGAAGACATATTACAGAAATAGAGATGATTTTGATTGGTTTTAGCACTGGAAATGGCTTGAAACTGAGCTCAAAGTAGCAGAAATGTTAAATTTTTGCCGATATTCAAGAGTAAACAAACGACCTCACACGTCTAATACACGCCAGCTGGTGGGTCTAATATACATTCACAAATATGGTGATGATATTTATACAATTATTACAGTATTGCATAACAGTAAATCTTCTATTTTTTGGTGTGAATAAAAATTCATTATGTGAATAAAAAATCAAAATGGAATTTATTTGTAAAGCCTCAAAACATAACTAATGAACAGAGGAAATGTTAGTTTAGTGCCAGGAATGCCTACATTGTTTATTCTGGACCCTATTTTGAAATTGGAATATTTTGAACTTTGTGTTAAATTGGCCAAATTAACAATTTCCGATCACTTTATTTTGTAGTTGAAACAGTTGACTTGGCGATTTCTTGTGCTCAATCGATAGAATGGAAGTAATACTAGTGAAATAGCTAAGAATTTGGTTGATTGGAATAATGTAATTGGCCTAAAATGGGAGTCAAAGTCGGCAAAATCGCCGATTCGTAAATATCGCTGACACATCAAAATTCGCGAGAGCATAATTTCGTCAATTTTCCACCAAATTTCGTACTTTTTGTTTTATTACCTTCACAAAAAGATTCTCTACGATTTCATAAGAAAAAATAACAAATTTTTTTTTTTGAAAATTCTTGGACACTGGTGCGTGACTCCAGATTTGGGCCTTGGACCCTGAAAGGGTTAAAATAAAAGTGCATCTGTCTCACCATTTCCTTCAATGTGTGGAGTAAGGACCTGATCCCTTGAGTTCTTTTCCCCAATATCTAATGTGATCTATTCCACTGAATACAATGAGTGGTTTGAGGCACTCCCCATACTTAAATCATCTTATTATCTGAGCCCAGTGACAGACCTCTGTATATTTTCCAGCTCAGACTGCTCTTTTATCTTGAAAGGAGCTGTAAGCTCACATGTGAAAGTACAATATGGCAGGTTAAGTTCTAGGTTACCGCTATAAAGCGGAAATTGCCATAAAATGGAACACCCTTTTTTTCCACTTGTAAATGCATAGAAATACTAGATAACAAGTCTACACTAACATAGATTAAGTTAGCAATAGAACTAGGCATTAAAAACAATAAAAAAGTAAAATACACATATAGTACACTCATTACTTACCTTAAAATATTTGTAGTCTTAATCTAGGGTGAGATGAGTAGTATGTATGGTAGTGAGCCAGGCTACCATACCAGGCCAACCCACCCACACATAATATTCTATGACATTTAAGCATCCCAGAGCGATAAAATGCCTATACAGTTCACTCATTACTTACCTTAAAATATTTGTAGTCTTAATGTAGGTGTAGTAGTCAGATGTGAG